CCTTGAAGGAGGTCTATATTCAGCATTGGTTTTTAATATCATATTACTGGTAAATATTATATCCCTCACTTCCGGGGTCGGTCTAAAATCAGTAATTTGGTTTTCTTGTCAACCGCTCGTTCGCTTCTTGCAACCACAGTTGAAAAACAGAATCCTTAACTTTGCTCTTTGCAACTGTGGTTGCAAAGCGACCAAGTTCTTTTAATTGAATTTAGACCGTATTTTAAACGCACAGACTCTAACTATTACGTATTAAAACCAAAAAGAAATATATAAATCATAGATTTGAATAAAAATTACCAACCTCTTGGACGAAAAATATCGAAACTTTGTTAGTTAAAGTTTAGTGAGTAAAGTGACGCTTGAGTGAATTTAACGAGGTGATAAAATATGCCGTGAGTATTGAATTTTATTGATTTTTGCTAGTATTTATATACTAAATTAATGTTTTGTTTAGTCTGTTCTTGTATTAAAGTAATATTTTTGCAAATACTGTATGAAAAATGTGATAAAGTCGAATTTAAAAAATACTCAGAATGACACGAATCTAAACATAATTTTCTATAGTTTACACTATCGTAATTATGTTGTATTCTTTAAATACGAAGTAGTCGTGGTGGTATATGAATATAATTATTCAATTTAAGTAATAAAGTTTTATAAATAGTTCATCATATTATAATAAAAGTTTTTATGTAATAACAGCGTAGATTGCAACTAACAAATAGCAATCAACTGTGCATTCCGTGTGCAATTCTTCGACAGGTTTCACTTAATATTTTTACTATGTATTTAAATATAAATCGTTTTATAATATAGATAAATATATCAAGTAATTCATTCTGTTTAAGGATATAGTAAATAATCATATACTTATCGATCTCATTTTTTTGATAAACCCAATGTTTTACAAAAAGTCGCTAAAATGGCTTGTACTTGTGATTTCAACACCTCTATAAATATTATTATAATAATATTATTGTAATCATATTTTGATAGAATAAGATACGTATTTTCTTTTCTTATTTTAATGGCTATTCATAAAATTTAAAATATTTGAAGTGCTCTTCTCGAGTAAGTCGTAAATTAAGTTTTATTGACGGCAGGCCGAACGCGCGAACACTGTCCCGACCTACTGGCAAATTAAGCTACCAATTTTTTTACGCAATCAATCGAGCGGTCAAGAAATTCTCAGTAGCAGCTCGGTGTCGGGAAGATGGCGTTGTTTCATCACCGAAACTCGAGTGCACATAAAGCCGTTAGTCCTGCGCCTGATCTCTCTCCGGTCGTATCTGACTAACGTCCTTTCGGAATATGAGAGTGAGAGAATTGAGAGTACACCTGTACACATTGCACATACACTTGGGGACTATAATCTTGTCCTGTGCAGATAGCTCATGTCCGTTGAGACTAGCCACCGTGACTGAAATTTGGTCTATAGGACATCACGTCATATCCAGCACGTGCAGAGGAATTAGCTTAAAATAGATAGCATTCATTAACGAATTATAGGATAGATGCAGTCTTAAACGTGCTGAGGACTCAACTAATCAGCGTTACTAATAGAACAACTGTTATGATGAATTATACCGGACGCCAGTCTGAATGAGACTAAAATGGCTTTCCAGCACCTTAAGAACGGCAGGGCCCCAGGCGAGGATAAAATTACAGCGGAGCTTCCGAAAGCGGGTGGAACGCCAGTACTTAAAGTCTTTCAGAAGTTCTTCAATTCCGTCCTCCATGGTGGCGCTACTCCGGAGGCGTGGAGGAGAAGTACGGTGGTCTTGTTCTTCAAGATAGGTGACAATGCTCTCTGGAAGAACTACAGACCGGTTTCTCTTCTGAGCCGCATCTACGTGCTGTTTTCGAGAGTCATTAAAAATCATCTCGCACGCAGACTCGACGACTTCTAGCCTCCCAAACAAGCCGGTTTCCGAAAAGGCTTCCGTCCAAATTTGGGCGGTGCTACAGTCCCTTCAGCGGTGCTAAGTTGACTGTCGATATATCGAAGTGCTGAAGAGTTTCTACAGTAGGACTACGATGGATATTCGAGTACAGAACCAGAGTTCAAAACCTATCCAAGTGACAGGGTGACATTATATCCTCGAAACTCTTCACCGCTATATTGGACATTGTATTAACGTTGGACGCTGTATTAACATCATTGGCGAGTACATCAATCACCTTCGATTTGCCGGCGATATAGTCTTTATGGCAGTATCGCTGGAGGATCCAAGCACTATGCTCAATGACCTCAATGGTGTCTCCCAACGGATAGGTCTTAAAATGAACATGGACAAAACAAATATCATGTTTAATGTCCATGTCACACCTATGCCGGTAGTTGTTGGGAGCACTATACTCAAAGTTGTTGAAGAGTACGTTTACCTGAGATAAATAGTCCAGTACTAGGTAAGTTCAACTTCGACCGAGAGGTCAATCGACGGTATCAGTAGGCGTAGTGTAGGGTGACCCCCACTAGATGGAGTGACGACCTGGTAAGACATAGGAAGTCGATGGATGCAGATGGCTCAGGACCGTGCTTTGTGGCATTACTTGGGGGAGGCCTATGTTCAGCAGTGGACTTGTGAAAGGCTGTAATGATGATGATATATATGTTAGTAGCGCTTTATTACCAACATTTGCGACAGTGTTTACTCTTAATCTTAATTGGTTGAATAGTCTAAGATCCTAATAGAAGCAAAATTTTGAAAACTCGTGCGATATTTGGAATTAAAAAATGTAAATATTTAAATATGTTGTTGCAGATTAGAGAAACAAAGCAAGTTATTAGTGAAAGTAGTTAGTACCTGAACGCAGTGAGTGTGTGAGTAATTTTTTCAAATATTTGCAGAGCCTTTTCAATACACCAATATTCTAATGAATTAAATGATTCAATTTTATTTGTCGAAATTCAAATTATATTTTGTCTCTTTAATATTTTGTTTTAGCACAAAGTAAAGGTAAAATTTTATTGCCTCAATGGTCTAGTGTCCTGCGTTGCCGGGTCGTAACAATACCAGTTATTGGGTTTTTCTGTCAAAAAATTCTCATTCTCATTTAAAAGTGGAAGAGCCACGCGGCAGCACCGATCATACAGGGAGATCTGCTCATGATTTTGCCTTTCCATATGGTCTGACACAACTGGTTACTTCGCCTACGCGGATTCCAGATGTGGAGGATCATGCACCTTGCTTGTTAGACCTTCTCCTGGCCTCTCACCCGGACGGATATCAGATTTACGTCGACGCCCCTTTAGGCTCCTCGGACCATTGTCTTGTCCGGAGTGTGGACTCACGCCGAAATCACAGTTGCATTCTGCAGGCTGCCGCCGTGTTTGGCGCTATAGGTAAGCCGATTGGGATAGGATGCGGTTTTTCTTTGCATCCTACCCTTGTGTAAACACCAGTGCTCTTAAAAAGAAGTATAATTCCGCCTCCAAGTCTTTCAAAAGAGTCATTGCCAAGGCAAAGTCAGAGCACATAGGCAGAATTGGCGAGAAACTAGTTCGCCTTCCTTCTGGAATCCGTGCATTCTGGTCTCTCGCCAAGGCTGTCTAGGGGAATTTCTGTTAGCCATCTCTTCCATCTCTGCACAGGGAGGACAATTTACTAGCCCATGCCGCAAAGCCGATCTGCTAGGCTCTATATTTGCGTCCAACTTGACCCTTGATGACTGGGGAGTACGCCGCCGACCATCCCGTGGTGTGAGTGCTCCATACCGGAAGTGCAGTTCACACAGCGCTCGGTTCGCAAAGTACTTCTCTCTCTGGACATACACAAGTCGAGTGGGCCTGACGGAATCCTCGCAATTGTGCTGAGGACGTGTGCTCCAGAGTTGGCATCGGTTTTAACGCGTCTTTTCCGGTACTCCTATTCTCTAGGCGTAGTTCCAAAATCTCGGAAGACAGCTTTCGTCCACCCGATCCCTAAAAAATACGACCACTCAGACCCGTCTAACTACCGGCCTATCGCCAACACCTCCTTGTTCTCCAAAACAATGGAGTCCATTGTAAACTGCCAGCTCATGAGGTACCTTGAGGATCACCAGCTGATTAGTGATCGCCAATACGGGTTTCGCCGTGGTCGATCAGTTGGTGATCTTCTGGTCTACCTAATTCAAAGATGCGTAGATAGGGCAGAGGCAGTTGGGTCCAGGTTAGTTTAGACATTGCGACAAGTATTGATCTCGTGTGAAATCATGCTTTATCTTCCCCTCTGCACACGTCTGTCACCACCTAAGGCGCGGTCCAACGCGAGTGGTAAAGCTATAACGGCTTTATGTGTTTTAGATGCTCAGGGGTGAAACTCTTCTATCTGCCTGACTCCGAGCTGCTACTGAGAATTTTATTTATAGAAGGGGGGCAAACGAGCATGCGGCTCACCTGATGTAAAATGACTACCGCCGCCCATGATCAACCGCAACGCCAGGGGAATTGCAGGTGCGTTGCCGGCCCTTTAATAAGGAGTAAGCTCTTTTCTTGAAGGTTACACCCACACACACAGGACCCAGGTCGTATCGGTCCGAAAAAATTGCCGCTGGTAAACTATTCCACAGAGAGGTCGTACGCGGAAGAAAACTCCTTGTGAAACAGCATTAGCTAACATAGGATCAGCCTTGCTCTACGGCTTACCAAATAGGCACTATACTAACTTTCATGCACGTTAGATAAGTTTCTCATTTGTATTATTATTTTTTAGGAAAATATATTTTGATTTACTTTCAAAAAGGGAGCAAGAATGAAATCAATTTGTTCTAAAATTGGTATAGAAAAAACAAATCAACAAAAAGGTGAAAAATGGTAAAATCATACAAATAATTAAAAAGACATACTTGTTTATTAAGGAAAATACAACTACTCTGAAATAGATTCAACTTCGTCCGGGCCATCTTCGTCTTCATCTTCGTCATTGGAACTTATGTCAGAGTCATCTTGCAAATTTATTATTATACTATCTATAACAGCATCGAACTTCATGTTACGATCCCAGTAATTGTTTTCATTTTTTGGACATGGTCGTCACGTTTCCGCCGTTTTCCGCCGTGAACTCCGAAAACAATTGATCCAAAATATTTTTCTTTTCATCTAGTGAAGAGCTGATGTGGTTCTGGGCTACGTTGTTTTTAATGTCAGCCCAGACCAGCTCTATGGGGTTAAGATCTGGATGATACGGCGGTAAGACGGTGTTTTCTTCAGCCTTCAAGAGTTCATCAATTCTGTAAACAAGCCCTTTTTGTATTTTATCGATAATACGTTGCAGTTTAGCTTTCGTCATAATTTCCTGAAATTCAAAATTGCGGTGCCGTAACCATTTCTGCATTTCACTTTTAAGTCTTGCAATTGTTGGTTTCTTGTCCTCTTAAATACTACGATAAGATGAGTTATTTAGAACAATTACAGAGTTAAGAAACAATTTACCTTTTAACCTTTCGTCCACCCACTTATGAACAGTAGGCCTGTTCATATCATCATGATAGTCACCAGTCTTAGCACCAGATTTAAATATTGTCAATGCAATTTGAACCAGTTCATCCCGACAGCCAGCTTGAATAATTACTAAATGCTAATCTTTCTCTTTATCATTGTGAATTCCAGGTTCTGACAATGATTGCCAACATTTACTGACATTGTGACTTGCGTTAATATACGCCTCGTCTAGGAAGTATGTTTCGATTTTTGTCTTTGTAATTTCTGATTTTAGTTATATATCTGGCCCGCCACTTTATAATATTAGGCTGTTCTATAAGAATAAGTAATAATATAGTCTGATTTACATTTTTTGTAATGATAATCCATTTTTTTATAAAATGCTTCTAAGATATTCTCGGCCACAATTCAAAACTCCAGCTTTTCTCAATCTTACCAGTAACTACGTACACTTGGTACTTTTTTTTCAACTTTGTAAAACTGGTGGATTTTTCTTCTGATAAATCCTAAACCAAATTAACTGAAAACAGTTCTTTCTTCATGATTTTTTTTGGCAAATTAAATTTAAATCGACCCGAAATTTCAGTTGATGAATTTTTTGTTTTATCACATTTCTTACAATTGTTTCGCAGTACCCTTGTAGCCTCTGTCACGATTTTAGCGATATTCACGTCACATTTATACTCAACATTTTCTTCGTCTGCTTTCCTTTTTTTAAATATTCGGCCACTTTATAAATGACGGTTTTGACATCACGAGATAAAGATAAAGAAAAAACACGGCCAATCTCCGAATATTTTATCTCAACAAGCACAGCTCGGTAAAAATAACATGAGTCCCCACCGTGAGCGTCGACGACGGAATAACGGAGCGGAGCGGCCTGTTTCACTCTCCCGTCTCAACACGCAGCTACCTAATCCGCGGTACAGCGCTTGCAGTTGAACTATAATCCTGCGCCTGATTTCTCTCTAGTCGTGTCAGATTAATGTCCTATCGGAATTTGAGAGTGACAGATTCACCACAGCTTGCACATACAACTGTCACTATAATCCTATCCTGCGCAGATGGCTAGTCTATGTTGAGACTGGCCACCGTGACATTACTGACAGGAGGACATTATTACTATTAATTGCAAATTAAAAACTGAAAATTAATCAAAACTCAGCTCGTAGCTTGGAGAGAGATTATTAGACCAGCAGTGCATGTGCATCAAACGCGGTGCTTCGCGTTTGATGCACATCATAGAAGCGCTTTCTTAACGTTTTTGACCTCAAAACCTCCAGGCGTATTCTGGTTTTAAAAGTATTGAGAGGCAGTACAAATCAAGATGAGAGACATCCCGTCAATCAAATATTTCTATTTAATATATTATTCTGTAACAATTGAAATCCATATTATCTTCAGTCAATACTCTTACAGTAAGTACTAGTTTGTTTTTAGTTTCAGTCAATACTCTCACAGTTTTACATCATATTGTAACAAATGACCGAGGAAAGTGGCAGAAACGGGCAGTTTAACCTGGACGGTATACTCTGCGAGTTAGGCTGCTTCGGAAAATACCAGGTGCTGCTGCTATTTCTGCTCGCATTCCGAGACTCCTTTCTCAACATGTGCAACTTCAACTACGTGTTCACAGCCGCCGATGTTTCCTCCAGGTAATAAATCTTAAAAATTTCGCGGCTTATATCAACCCGTTGATGGGCTGATCTAATGAATTATAATACTTCATACTACATTAGGTACACTGACGAACGTAGATCTTATCTATACTATGGATAAAAACATAGGATTTCATTCGATGTGTAGATACTTACACCACTGCTTTATTTATCAGGCATTCTCAATCCTGAAATCTTTTATCTACATATTAAATACCTATTTGGCATTAACTTGTCTTGTCTTGTTTCTTGCTTTGTTTATACAGTAATAGTATTTCAAAAAAATTTTGGAAGCGCCTCATCTAGCGGTTGCTCCCATGGTAAAATTACTCCACAATGCTTTAACGTCTCTTACCGCAAACAAAACTTGTTCTAACTATAAAATATGACATATATTTATGACATAAAATATTCAAACATTGATATCATTTCATCAATCATTTCAGGATAAAAGTACCTGGATGACCGAGCTTTGCTCGGTATTTTTTTGGATATCGTGTTTTTTGTAAATTATATTTAGATAAAAATTACATACTGATGAAATATGAATAAAAATTTTCAATCTTCTCGGTCTTATTTTTTCATGTTTTAAAAAATATATACTAAAAAAAGGGCTGCAAATAATATATTTTCTTACAAAAGAAAGTGCAAGAGAAGACACAGTGCAATTTTTTTCTATTATTTTATTCCTTTTAGTTCTTTGAGATCAGCTTCAACCTTTGTTAAAAATCTTATTTTTTAAATTATGTAGCACAAGCTGGATATATATATATATATATATATATATATATATATATATATATATATATATATATATATATATTTTAGTACACTTGTCCCAGGTGACCTTACTTAAACTTAAAATTAGTTTGTAATAACCAATTTTATTTCATCGGTTGACTATTGCGATGACGTTGCTAGTTTTAATATGTGAAAAATTACCTTAATCCCAAAGATAATTCGAAAAATTTTAAACTAAAAAATGCATGTACTCAAACAGATTTACTTTTTGACTTGGAAAGAGGAAATAAAACCTATATCCAAAACGTTGTTGAATTCTTCACTGATCAATAATTCATAAATAACTAGTGATGGCATTAATCTTTTTGAAGAAATATTTGTTCCTTGTAATTTTTTTATTGACTCCTTCCAGTCAAAAAACATCTGTTTAAAAATATTTCATCAAAGTGTTTGCGGAATAAGTAATAAAAAATTAAAACTCGAACTGCATATTGAATCTTCTGGTAATGACTTGGACTACTTATGTATATCAGAACATTTCTTAAATAATAAATCTGCCCACTTATTTAATTTGTCTAATTATAATTTAGCTTCATACAACACAAGAACGACGAAAAAAAAGAGGAGGTAGTCTTATTCTAGCACACAAAACAAGGAATGTTAAAAAATTAACGCAATTGTAAAATTGTATAGATCAAATATTTTTGAAATATGTGGTGTAAAGGATATTGAAACAGGTTTAAATTTATGTATTTTTGCAATGTTTAGAAAAATGTTAGAACATTTTTTCAACAAGAAATGCATCATATGTGGTGATTTTAATATTGACGTGCTTTTTGAGAGTAAAAAAGCTTGCGAATTCATTAGTATTTTGACTTATTATAATTTTAGGTTCCTTATAAATACTCCTACATTTATTAGAAAAACTCGAATTCTTGTATAGATAACATTGTCACAAATCTTTCTGAAGATGACATAGAACGGTGCTTGGTGGATCACAATGGTCTAGCAGATGGTCACGGAAGCCTGTTTTGCGATATCATTCTTGATAAAATCAACGTCAACACTAAAAACCCACAATATACAATAATAATTCAAAAAATAATAATGAATAGAAAAAATAAGGCTAGGTTTAGTAGTAGCATCGTAGATAGAAACTTGTGTAATGTGGGTATAAATAATTTTTATACAATTTTAATAAAATCTTTAGATAATGGTTCGAAAAAAAATTAAAATACGCCCTATGAAAAATAATATAGTAAAATGGGTAACTAAAGGAATCAAAGTGTCAAGTAAAATGAAAAAAGTATTGTGCTCGGGCATTCCAAAAAATTCAAGCATCGCAAATTATAAAATAAAACATTCGAATTTATAAAAGGGTTCTTAGACGTGCTAAAAGGTTATCCATAGCAGAGAATCTTAGCAAAGCTAAAACATCTTCAAAAAAAAAAGTGAAAAATAGTAAACACAAATACAAAGAAAGGTTAGAAGAAAGATAATTTTAAACATAAACGAAAAAGTTATTATTGATCCACAGGAAATAGTAAACAATTTTGCTGATATCTTTGTTTACAAATCTTCATTGTTAGAGAATGATGAAGAGAGAGTGATGACTTTTTTAAAAGAAACAACGGCTACAGTAGAAAATGACATAACTTTTAATAGAACCACACCGGATGAAATAAAGAATTGTATGTAAGATGAAGAACAAAAACTCTTCTGGATTTGACAACATACCCATATCAGTAATTAAGGAAAATATAGAAATAGTAGCTTGCCCTCTTTTTAAGTTTATTAAGAAATGTATCGAAGAGTCGATTTTACCGAATCAACGCAAACTAGCTAAAGTCGTTCCTATATACAAAAAAGGTACAAAAACGGATCCGAAAAAATATCGTCCGATATTATTGCTACCAACTTTGTCAAAAAATTTTGAAATGATAATAAAAACTAGATTAATGACACATTTGACTTCTAAAAATATCATAAATTTGAGACAGTTTGACACTAGATTATGAGTTACTTCTTATTTAATTAAAATATTATGGCGTTAGAGGCAAAACGTTAAAACTCATGACATCTTACCTGCAAAGCAGACGAATTTACGTTGAAATAAAAGATATTGACGAAAACAGATACAAAGTTGTATATAAGTCGCATACGATAAGTGTAGACCTTGAGGCACACCCCGTTTTAGGGTGTGCCTCAAGGTTCAATATTAGGTTCAATATTGTATATTATTTTTACTAATGATTTGTTAAACTTTATGACCATTAGACCCTTTTTACTGGAAACGAAGCATTCCATCTTAGTCCTCACGGGTGAAAACGCATCTGCATTTTGATTTTTAATCGAGGAATAAATATAGATGTCTATGGGCCGCAGCAACCACTTACCATCAGATGGACTGTGTGCTAGTTTGTTACCCTATCCTATAAAAAAACAAAGCGCAGCCTGATGCGGGGCTCGTAGTATTCGCTGATGATACAAACGTTGTAATAGGAGCACAAGATTTAACAGAATTTACAACAAATATAAATGGGAGTTCAGAAAATCGTTTAAATTGGTTTACAACGAATAATTTTATAATAAATACAAATAAAACAAATATTATACTTTTTGACATAACATCGCGCAACAGTGATAATTTAGATATCAAATTAAAAGGCGATAAAATCAAACTGGTAAATACAGTAAAATTCTTAGGAATAAAAATAGATTCCCAATTAAGCTGGAAGGAAGAACTCGCCGCAATTGATGTGTCTATATCTTCTGTCTGTTACGCATTTAGTAGCTTAAGCAATGAAATTTATTTAAACCAACTCAAAACAGTGTATCATGCGCTGGTGGAATTCAAGTTGAGATATAGCATAATGGTTTGGGGAACAGCCATAGCTATAATTGCCAGAGAGCATTCATCCTACAGAAGCGTGCTTTTAGAACTATTATTAGGATCTCGCAACGTGAGTCATGCAAAGCACACTTTAAAAAATTGGGCATATTGACAGTACCAAGTTAATATATTTTAATCGTCCTAAGCCACATGGCTAAGTATCTACAACAATGCGAAACGCAAAAGGAAAGGAAGTTAAGAGAGATCACACGTGGAAAGGTAATAAAAAGTAGAATCATTCCAAAATTGAATACACATTGTCCAAATTATCAAACAGTTGAGTTATTTAATAAGTTACCTACCGACTTAAAGGAATTAATTTGCAATGCATATTTATTTAAAGCAAAATTCAAACCTATCTTGTTAGAAAAATGTTCATATGCGGTGTCTGAATTCGTGATAAATGAGAATGAATAAATAATATCAATTATTTCAGATATAAGATGACGCTCTGACTTTATATCACTAAAAATTGCTTTTATGACCTTCATATGAATTATGAACTTTTATTGACATATTGAACTGAATTTTATTTTTATTAACGGTTTTATAATTTTTACTTATACATATATTATTGTACTTCGACAATTATTAATAATTAGTTGCGTTACAATCGATAATTGGAAATGATGTATTTTAAGAATTGAGTTCGGTTTTAATGCAAATTGTTACTAGTTATGTAATCAATATTTCTATATAAATTTATTATGTGTAATTACAAATACAATGCAATTGTTTTATAAATAAATAAATAAGATGCAGGACCAACGGCTTTACGTGCTTTCCGTGGGACGGGGATGTAACACAGACAACTTCTTGACTCCTGGCAACTACTTAGATTTTTTGACAGAAAAACTCAATAACTGATTTTATTCCTAACTCGGGCTTCAAACGCGGGACCTCATGATCAGTAGCTTCGTTAACAACCACTAGACTAAAGAAGCAGTCAAGTGAAGAACACTATGGGTATTATAGGTAGAATACTTAAAAATATTTGTTTGTTATTTCTGACTTTACAAATTGGCCTCCTATAATCATTTTCAATAAGGTAAACTGCAAAGTCATTTGTTAATAACTTTAATTTAAAGAAGTGGTTATAATTGATCATCATCACGGCCAATCAAAAGTTCATTGCTGAACATAGACCTCCTTCATAGGTTGAAAAAAGGTGACAAACGAGCACACAGTCCACCGGTTAAGTGGATGCTGTGGCCCATAGACATCTACATCTATCTCCTACTAAGAATGAAATTGCAGGTGCGTTGTATTCACCATACAAAAAACAGCAGCATTAAGCTGCTTTCTTATGCTGGTATTCTGTGAGAGCATGTACGTTCCCCGGTGGAGCCGACTTCATCGTGCTACAAACATATTATAGCTGCAGCATCGCTCTACCACTTAAAAAACTGGTAATTTTTTTAATTAAGGATAAGGGTGACAAATGAGCACACAGCCCACCTGATGGTAAGTGGTGCTATGGCCCATAGACATCTACATTTAACCTCGATTAAGAATCAAAATGCAGATGCGTTGTCACCCTTGAGGACCAAGATGGAATGCCTCGATTCCAGTAAAACTGGTCTCTACACTCTCACACTCACACTCTACAGTCACCATTCGAAACACAGCAGTATTAAGCTGCTATTTTAGGCTGGTATTCTGTGAGAGCGTGGTCCTTCCCCGACCGAGCCGACCCATTCATGCTACAACCATATTATAGCTGCAGCGTGACTACTACGTACGATTGGCTATTTTTACACCGCCACTGCACGGTTTCGGTGACATTACAATTGCTATGAGCTCGATCTATCATTACAGATGCTACGTACCAGAATGCGATCTAGTTGACGCCTTATACAATGCTAGTTGGTTCGCTTCGATAGTGAACAAATCAGAAGCGTGTCAAATACTGTCACCCTATGATATAACAAAGAATACCTCTGTAGTCGAGGATTGGAGTTCCTTAGGGGTGAACGGTAATAACTGCTTAACGCAGATGATCGACGAAAAGAGAACTGTGCCCTGTGAGAAGTTGGTCTATGAAGACTACAACAGTATAGTGGCCGAGGTAAGGCTATTCTTCCTTTGGTAACATCAGTTAACAGATTTGCAGTATATAGACCACATATAACATACAAAATATTAAGAAAGTGAAACATTTTCGAAATATAAAACAAGAATAGAATAAATTTATTATCTAGACGGTGTAAGTAAAACCTCTACTAATTTTTTCTTCCACTTGTAAAATTAATTTTTTTTTCAAATTTAAATCGATTTATTCCTCAAAATTGTGTATATAGGTGTTTTATAAATTTATAATTACTTTAATTCGATTGTGTTACAATTTCTGATGTAGAATTTTTAAATTGAATGGAATAACTAATTTTACAGATATTATTGCGTTTAATTTAATAACAAACACTCATGCCTGTCACCCAGAGGGGTAGGCAGAGACTACAGACTTCAATTTGGCACGATCCTGACACACCTCCCTCGCCTCCTCCACATCCATATACCTACGCATTCATACATGCTCATCGGTTAAGGGTACTCCTAATTTGGCCCGTTTTCAATATATCGCCAAAATGGTCGATAAACTTTCGCCTAGAACGTCCCTTTCCGACTTTTCCGTTCACTTCTGCAGCATAAATTTGCTTTATCACTCTTTTCTCATTCATTATTTTCACGTGACCAAACCACCGAAGCATTCCTTTTTTAATCCTGGTCACAACATCATCTTGCAAACCTTCTCTCTGCGTTTAATTTAGCTTTTATAATTTTCGACAGTTCGAACGCTATCTTCAGTATTAAATATTAGTTTTGGTCCGATCTACACACAGCGAGGTTTTCAGAAGGAGGAGTGTTGGAAAAAATTAATACACAAATTATATTAGTATATAACTAATATTACAGAATTTATCGCTTTTAATTTGTTGATTCCCAGCGTTTTGAGCGCTTTACAGTAGCACACATAGCCACGGCGGAGACTAGGGTCAATAAGAACAAGAATTCAAATTCTCTTATTTTTAACAAAATTTTTAATTTTGTTAAAAAATAATTTTAATCAATAATAATTAAAATCAATGTGTAGTATTCGAAATATAGGAAGGTATAGTTAAAATTAGCCTAAAAATCAACATTTATGAAACCTTTACGATAATAACTATTTTTTTCAATGATTTTCATTATAGTACTTACTTTAGAACGGACACTTTTGAATGGGTTATTCCGTTTATTCACCCTCAAGAATTCATCCTGGGGTGGATACTCGGAAATGTGTTTTCGTCTATCTACCCCAGACGGGGTGGATATTTGAAAATCACTTTTATTTGTTTTTCCGACTTTTTACCCCAGGTATTGTTTAACACATGCAATTTAAATATTATTTAATTATTCATAACCACAAACGATATCAAAAAACTTATTATGTGATGGCGTTACCAATCCAATTCCGAGTATCCACCCTTGGGTGGATTCTTTAGGGTGGTTAAATGGAATAGCATTTTTGAATTTTAGAAACAATTTTACTTTTTTGGCCTTATTTCCCCATGCCATATATTTTTTATTCAATTCTACATTTTGACTAGGCAAGAGAGTGCACAATTATTTTAAAAAAAACTCATCATTTTCACCGCTTGATCAATGGATAGGGTTTTTAATAATAAACAGATTAAAACGATTAAAAGCGTTATTATTGCTTTCAGTTTTTAGTAGGATATATTACCGTCTCATTTTAAAGTGGTACTAAATATACCAGACATGTTCATCCATTGTTACCCTTAGTTTGAGCTGTCTTACAATAAAGATTGAATAAAATATGCACTAAGATTTTTCAAACATACAACAGCATGTACGAACATACGTACGTTGTCTAATGCTAGTGCCACTACATGTTCAAGGATTGTAAATAAAGTGGCCTACAAATTAGTATAGCGGTTGAGGTGCATATTTCTATGGAAATGGTAATATGGTGCTTGTCATACTTCATAATAGCAGTAAATTGAATCAGATTTATTGCCACTACCGTTTATTAGCTAATTACGAAGCGCTTCAATATTAACTTAGGCTATTCAATTCGTTTTTCCGTGCGATTACAATCTGGACGTCTACAAGACAGGAGTGAATAGGCTTTTAACACCACAGGTTGTTACCACTGAATATATTTACTGTAGTCAGTTCTATAAGACTAGGAATAGATTTTTGAAAATCAAAAAGTTTGTTACTGTTTTCCTAAGGTCTTTAGTAACTATTTCATCCCTCAGTGGTGACAACACATTTGCATATTAATTCAAGATTGGTTCCTGGTATTGTAGGTGCCTATAGGTCAAAATATTCATTTACTTTCGTGTTAACTGTTTGTTCGTCATCCTAAAATGTACAAAAAGGATACTCCGTGAGTATGGTTAAACATAAGGATGCAACCGACAAAATACTACTTTGCGATATAAAAATTTCAAGTTTGGATCTCTATACAATGTATGTGGATTGCTTCTAATTACTGGCCGGAATTATTCTTATTTTATTTAAGTTAGACCCTAAGGATAATTTTGTCATATGTTTACACTAACACTAACACTAGTTTGTCTTAAATTCTTTCAGTCGCCTCTTACGAACACCATGTGCAAGCAGCTATGTAGATCTAGAAAGAGAGACCCGTTACACTGCGACCTAAAAGATCTATTGTGGTCGCTGCTATGGCTATAGTTCGCTGCTAAACCCTAATATTTCAACGAATAGAAAAAGTTGCTTAGTTTAATGTCACTTCTTCAGGGCGAAGTTCATAGTTTCCCAGATGAGTGCTGCATTCTTGAGTTGCTTAGTCTCAGAATAGACATGTGCTTATTAAGACAACAGCGTTCAGTCAAAGCTCTTGCCAGAGTGCACAGTTTATTTTTACCTAATCACAGGGCTTCTGAACCTAATTTGCGATCAAAAATGCCCGGATTAAGGTAAGATCTTAAGTATTTTATTGTAGTAAAGGGTTTAAAAGTCAATCGGTTTATGCTTTTTGAGATTCGATTTTTGGCACAAATTCAAATTGTGTACTCTTTGAGCCCTCCCGTGCGAGCTTGTCAGCAGTTTCATTGCCTATAATACCCGCGTGACACGGAACCCATCTTAAAACGACCCTGTTGTTACATTCCAGGGCGTTTAGGCGGTTCACGCAGTCTCCAACTAGCTTCAAGTTCGATCTCAGCGCTAGCAGTGCTGCTCGACTATCAGAGTTTATATAGATTGTATGGTTGACTTAGTATTCTTGCAGATTGATTTCCGCATACTGAATTATTGCGAAAATTTCTGCCTGGAAGATATAGGTGTATCTACCCAAATTTATACTAAGTTTGAATTTGGAGCGTTCCCCATAAATTTTATAGCCTACGTTAAGACCAATTCTGACCGATCGGTATACCATATAAGGCTACCGACTTCACGATAACCAGTCCATTCAGCCATTCTTCTCTGTGGGGTAGTTTCACTTTATACTTTTGTTAAAAGTGTAAAGTGGACGATGATATCTAAGATCGTGCATAAGACCGATGTTTCCTTAATTGAGTCGAACATGGATCTCAATTCTCAATCTTATAATAAAGCAAGCTCAGACCGCCTTGAGCATTAATCCTATACAAACTTGCTCTCGTATCCCTGTCTAAATAAAGATCAAGGGGCGTTAAGCATAGAAGTGCATTAGAAGCTGCTCCAGGCGATGACCGCATCAATCCAGATGCCACTAAGCAAGCAGTCCTTTATAGACTATTTAGTCTGTCCGCAGTCGTCTTTACACAATGGAGGCGTAGGTAGTAATTGCACTCACTATGCTGCTGTACAGCAATAGGATCATACTGGAACGCAAACTTCAATTGTTCCCAACCATACGACTGCACGTACCTAAAGCAATTTCAGCCTTATGACATACGTTCATGAGGTGAGAGTTCCATTTTAGATTTTAGTCGATTTTTACTCAATATCTAGAAAGGCACAAAGAGCTATTTCTTTATCTCCGGCACTTTTTCAACCCTGTCAATAACACTGATCAGAGCTCTTTCCGTAGATTTTCCTCTATGGTAAGCATGCTAGTAGTAATGTATGGGCCTCGTGGCCACATCCCAAATATATCTGTCTGTAACCTTTTCCAATGTCTTGAAAAGAAAAGAAGATAGGCTTATAGTTCTAAAGGACTTTGGTAAAGCAAAGTTCTTCTACAAACCTTAGGTATAAATAAAACTTTGAAAACGATACCCCTCAGTAGTTGGATGGGAAAAATTATTCCATCCTCCCCGCTTGTCTTATACGGTATAATAGAGTCAACAGCCCACTGAACCAGGTTTAGCCTTGGCCTTTTGGTTTGGTTTTAATTATATATTTAATTATATATGTTTTTGGTTTCTAATGTATATTTAAACATAAAACAATACTTCAGTGCTCTACACTTTAATTTTGTACACATTTTTACTTTTTTAACTTCTTCTATTTTAAATTAGATACGGATATAAGATACGTAGTTCGGTTAATCCATTTTTAATCTAATTAAAATAAAATATTACAAATATTTCAAAAAGAAACATAATCTCTTTAATTTTCTAACAAATTAAACTAAGTCCGTCCTGGTGACAGAAAAAGTGGATGTCCTCATTTAACTCCGGTTTGCGAAGCTAAAGCCTTGTTTTGATTATCTTTCAGTTTGACCTGGGCTGTCAACCATGGAAAAGAACGTTAATCGGTACAGTTCACAATCTTGGACTTGTTTTTTCTTATATATTGTCCGGTGTTATATCAGACAGGTAAGAAAACACAGTTTCTGTCAACCTAAGTCAAAGATAACAACAGTAAATAGGACAAGCGGCGCAAGAAATCAGGCATTATACATCTTTCCAAATCATTAGTTCTATAAAAAGTTAAAAAATTAATTTAAAGATGGTTAATTCGCAGATATGGTCGAAAAGTAATAATCGTGGGGACGCCATTAATGGTCGGTGCGGTGGGGCTGCTCAAATCTTTCTCAGTCGATTACTGGATGCTGCTTATGCTTGAATTCCTCGAGACTGCACTCGGCTACGGCAACGCTTCCTTAATCTTATGTGAGTTGATTTAAGTCACATTGTTATTAGCACCGGACAAATTTTAAACAAGAATTAAGGTAAAGATAAATCGTCGTGAAACCTTACTAAAGGCACAAGTATGGATTTATTAGTACTAGCGGCGACGTAAGAAATACGCTAGCAGTGTGGCAATCTCGTTGATACCTGATGTAAAACACTCAGCGAAGATGAGCAGGGTCAAAAGAACGAGACATCTGTTATTGTTATCATCATTATCATAATTTTACAGCCTTTCACAAGTCCACTACTATCAACATAGAACTCCCTAAGGGAATGCCACAAAGCACGATGCTAAGCCGGATCGGTCTGGCAAAATTGCTGGTGGTAGTCGATTCTACAGGAAGTTGTGCGAGGAAGAAAACTTCTTGTAGAAGTCGCACAGTGGTGTAACGCCAAGCATCCAGATGTTATAGATGGTATCGTAAGTTTTGTCGCGCCGTGCGTTCGTGAATTTTAGCGACTGAAATTAATCCGAACAATTCCTGAGAGCACTCCGCGTGATAGATGCGATAAAATACGAAAAGAGATGCAACATCTCTTCGCAGCATCAGTGAATCGAGCCAATCGGAAAGCACTCGGTCGTCGACGATTCGAGCCGTTCTGCGCTGGATGCGGTCAAGTGGAAGAAGCTGGTACTGGGGATCCCCAGTCCAGAGATGGGAACAGTATTCCATGTGCGGCCGAACCTGTGCCTTGTAAAGTAGCAGGTGGTGTGACGGAATGAAATACTGTCCCATTCTGCTGAGCACGCCAAGATTTTTAGAGGCTAATTTGGCTTTCTCTTCCAAGTGACCACGAAACTGCACGTTATTCAATATGTCGACGCCGAAAGTTCCGACACTAGCTACGACAACAAGAGGAGTGCCCTGAAACTGAGAAGATACGAAAAAAAGGTTCTTTTTAATGGTAAACGCGCAAATGTGTGTCTTCTGGGGATTGTACTGGACTAGATTTAGTCGCCTCCATTCCTTGTTACACTTCTAATACTTCAGACACAAGATTTTTCCGGCACTCGGCAACGTTTTTTCAATAAACATTGGCACGACCGGTGCATAAAGAATCACCATTGCTGTTGTCCACATAGCAATAAAAGTTACGGGTTTGCAACATATCATTGATATACGGAAAAAAGCGATGGTGTTAACACGCAGTCTTGTAGAACACCACCGTTAATATGCTTGTTATCGGAGCATGCACGGTCTACTACGACCTTGACATTCCGATCTGGAGTAAAACTGGTGATCCAATTGCAAAATTTCTCGGGAAGCCCAATAAATCATTCCTAAGAGAGAGCTTCGAAAGAAGCGCTTTGTGCCCAACCCGATCGAAGACTTTCGCTATGTCTAAACTAACAGCCAAGGCCTCCCCTTTGGACTCTACTGCCTCCGCCCATCTATGAGTTAGGTAGGACAAAAGATCACCAGCTGAGTGACTCCGACGGAAACCGTACTGGACTGGAGCTGGTGATCCTCAAGGTACCTCATGATTTGGTACTTTATAATTGTTTCCATTATTTTGTAGGACAAGGAGGTGCTAGTGATAGGCCTGTGGTTGGACGAATCTGAGCGGTCACCTTGTCATGTCAGTTAAACTGGTTATACAGCAGATTCCTGACCAGCGAGTCATTTAATGACCAATTCTTTAATTCAAGAAATGCTTTCATTTTCGTTATGACGCTTTTTATATGACTTGCAATTACAACAAACTGCTCGTTCGGGTTTAGGCCAGGCACGTTAAAGTTCTTGGGCCAGTTTTTTGTTATATAAATGGTTTTTAAACACTTTCGAGATAGTATAACGGGTTATAAGGGAAAACGTTTTGAAACGATCAAGATTATAGACTGCATACTCCAAAAGTCGTGTGTTTGAACCCACCATTCAACAAATTTTTACTAACATCTGATAAAGCACAAAGTATTTTCGTATGTTACCTTCATTGACCAAATTCTTTATCATAATTTTTTTTAATTTAACTTATTTATTTTTAGCTTACATGGGACACTAAATAAGTTTTGAGATATAAAAAAAGTATTTTAAATACTGTTAATATTTATTTTATATCTTTTCGAAAAATTCTTTATCATGCTCTATACAAAGTTCCAATCGCCTAAACCCACTCTGAAAACACTTTTGCCAGTCTTGATCTAACAGGTCCGAAATCACTTCTTGGCGGGCAGTCGGAAGGGATTTCTGCGGTTCCCAATTTTAAGCTTCTTCGGCACTTGAAAAAAACTTGCCTTTTATTTTTTCTTTGACTCTTGTGAACAAAAAAAATCACAAGGAGCTAAGTCAAGGCTGTAGGGTGGGAGACTTAGAGTTTCAACATCAGATTCCTCAATAAATGCTTTTGTTCTAAGGGAGGTATGTGAAGAGGCGTTATCGTCATGCAACATGATTTCCTGAAGCCCAGTCTTTGGTCATCTCTCCCGCTGAGCTTGAAAAGCTTTGGGTATATCAAATTTCCATTCAGAGTTGACTGACCTACAATTTTCGAGCATTGACGTCGACAAAGGTCCGCTCCGCGAAGAAAAACTACCCACCATTTTGTTGCCGACGTTGCGAGGTCTTTGCAGTTTTGTCAGTAACTGTCCTTCTGAGTAGACCCATACCGATTATTGCCTTTTATTTTCCAGTTTGTATTAATAGATCTATGTCTCGTCACCAGTAACGATTTCTGAAACACACCTAGATGCCCTGTGTTCAAAACGTAGACGCATTTCATGGCACCAATGCACACGAGTCTGTTTTTCTCTTTCGAAAAGCAGACAAGGGATCCATCGACAAAAAAGCATCCTCACTCCAAGATGTTGATGTAGAATGGTATGAATGCTCCCCGAACTAATGCGTACAATCTTTTCGATGTCCGTATATGTGATTCGTGGGTCTTTTCGCACCAACATTTTAGTAGTCCATACATTTTCTGCCGTTACTGCTGTTTGCGGTTCTATGGTCGTCTTTAAGGTTAATTTTACCCCTTTGTAATTCAGCAAACTATTTTAGAATGGTTGCTCTAATACTGATTGTAACCATTGTAAACTTAATTATTCGGTAAAACCAAATTTAAAATCATAATAGATCATAGCGCGCAAATGTTCACGGTTAAGATCCATCATTATAAATGAAAAGCGCGGGAAGCGTTGCAGAAAATCAATGGAACTTTTTTTTATATTTAACAACTGACTTTAACAACACGGGTGCGTTCCATTTTTAAATTTCGAGCATCTAAAAACTTATTGAGTGACCTACGTAAGTGGTTAACAGGAATATTTCCAATAGATATATTAATAGCGTAAGTAGTATTGTTTTTTTTTTCAATCTCATGTTTATTTTTCCAGCACTAGAAACCGTCAGTCACAACGACAGGGTAGTTTATTCCTGCATTACGGATATTCTCTCCAACTTTGGGGCTGCTTTGTTCGGCTTAATAGCTTGGAAGATCCCCTATTGGAGACATTTAATGAGAGCCATATACGCCCCCCTCCTAGTGGTGGTATTCTATATATTCCTCGTCGATGAGGGCGTCCGGTGGCTTCTGGCTCACAATAAGAAATATGAAGCTGTGAGGGTGCTAAACAAAGTTGCCAAGATTAATAACATTACATTGTCTAATAAAGCAAAAGAGATGTTGAGCAAGATAACTGAAGAGAGGAGTAAGGCTGACCAAGTAAGAGAAGTTATATATTCAGTTTAGGTGGTAAGCCTTCTTTTCTCTCTAGAGTTGGTAGTTTTACCTATTAATTTTGCCTAGCAACTGTGTTTCCTTCACCATCTTCCGTTTTTGAGGAATCTCTTTTTTATCAGTGTACAATAAAGTACATTTCATTCAATAGTTCATGGCCTGTTAACAGCAGTAGGGTATATACATTTATATAATACTTTCCGCCTATTAAAAAACGTGGTCTATTGATATCCTCTAGCTTAAAGTATGGTTTATTTATTTATTTTAGGAAAGCTTATAGACTCATATCTTCGTAAAAATACAAAATGCTAACAAGAATTGATATTCAATTCAATTGATGTTTAAATTTTTAACGAGTTATTCCGTTTATCCACCCTGAAATGTATACTACTTTATTACATTAATTATAAAGAACATATCAAACTTATTTTACCTTTGGGTGGATAAAAGGAATGACTCTTTTTAACAAATATAAGCTGTTTTATTTTCCTATGGTTAAAAGGTGACAACCCTAAAAGATTTCCCATAAGATGACCCAATGTTCAAAATGCCTGCTTAACATTGCCTACCTCCTTAATAACAAAATTAAAAGTTTTACACTATATGTCATTGGTAAATAGGAATAATAAACATTTGGTCATTAACAAACTTTATGGGAGGGAAATCTGTTCATTTCGAAACGCATTTTAAACTGTAATATTTTTACCTAGGTAAAGTAAAGGAAATGCCATTAACTTTTCCTGGATATTTCGAATCTTATTTCTCAGAAAATATGAGGTGTAGACAATAGTGGGTTATTTTGCTAGGCGCACATAGTTCTGATTTACATTTTTTCTTTACATGTGATATGTCACTATTTCTATGCGTTTCGAGAAATATCACAGAAACCTCTAAATTCGTGCAAAGTTAGGGCATTTTACGATATATATATATATATATATATATATATATATATATATATATATATATATATATATATAACGACATACACATTTTATACGTGGTAAAGCCATGCTGCTGCTATATTATAGTTGTAGCACGAATGGGTCGAATCGACCAGGGTAATACCAAACCTGAGACCCTTTTTACTGGAAACGAGGCTTACTCGGAGGTGACAACGCATCTATATTTTGACTCTTTATCGAAGATAGATGTAGATATTCTATGGGCCACATAATATGCTTACTATCAGATGGACTGTGTTCTTGTTTGTCACCCTAATTCTATAAAATCATCTTGTTATTATACTTTAACTTATAAGAACTATATTTAAAATAAGTAAACAATTTTAGATGGTGCAAGCATGTTCAGAGCACCCACCACCAATCTTCTCGGTTCTTCGTTCCAAAAAGATACTCCATCGTATGACGCTCATCTCTGCCAGCTTCTTCTGCTGCATGTTCGTGCATAGTGGTGCCATAATTAACTCGACGTCCATCTCCTCCAGCAAGTACCTCAACTTCTCTGCCATGAATCTGGTAGATGTGCCAACGCGGATCATCACGGCGCTTACTCTCAATAGATTTGGAAGAAAAACCCCGATCTGTACGGCATACTGCTTGTGTGCATTTTTCTTTATGACATCGGCTTTTGTGCCCAAATGTAAGTACACCCCCCTTAAAAGTTAAATTCATGATCTATCTAGATTAGTTGTATTTATTCTTTAATATAATAATAATGAATAACCACCCCACATGTCGTCTCACGAGGTGACCGACATTGGAGTGGTCTGCCGACCGAAATTATTCCTGTAGTCATCTCTGCGAGTGTGCTAATCATGGTCAGCCTCTCGAGTTATATGAGGCGACTGGGACTCCGTGAAGGACCGCTCCGGGCTCAAATGCAGAAGGCGGTACTCGTCAATACCGCCCGCATCTTCCACCGATATCTTTCCCTTTCTCCCTAACCCCCAGCCGTTTGTTCTCCCCTGCCGAAGGCTTTCATCTGGTCTTTTATTTATTTATGTATTTATTTTATTTATATTTATGTACATTTATCATTTTCATTTACAATTATATATTTATAGAACTCAACCAGATGAGTAAACTATACAGATACCTTAAAAATTAACCATGGTATGAAAAAGTTTTTACAAATATTGTACAATCTAATTATTTTACCAAAAATTATTAATGTCGCGGCTGGAGGCCCCGCGAAAACGATGTTGCAATATCGTGTGAAACTGTACGGTTGCCGTTTAGTTCGCGATTTTGTACGGGGATATCCATATAACATACAGTTAGTTATACATAGCATGCTAAAGTTTTCGTTTTGTACATTAATACTTATGATTAATAAAGTCCATAATTCTGTGGATATGATTTTAATTAGATATTTCTGTATTTTGTTTAATATAATCTAGTAATCAATATTTTAAGATTATTTGGTGGCATTATATTTTATTATATTATTTTATTATAAGTGATTTAACTGAAAGGACACATGTCTAAGTTAACTGAAGGAGGTAATAAGCAGCTAGGCATAGAACTCTTTTCATTTTTGAAAGGTATACGGAGCAATTCATCTACTCCCCTGCTATAGTGCGTTTATGTGCACTTACAGGTCTTGAAATATTTTTATGTCCCAGATATGCTGATTTCCTTACGATGTTTTCCCTTACCGCCAAGTACGTTGCAAGTCAGCATTAAAAATATTGTTGCGCACCTAAGTTGCCGTCATGTACCCGGCACTAGTGCCATCTGTGTCGGGTAACGGAGCGAGGAGAGCTTTCCAGAAAATGACATCACTAATAATTTCAACCGACAGCGCCATCCATTATCGACACGAAGAACTAAGCTTCTAGAAGCCCGACACTCGAACTTTCGGCGCCTAGTCGATTGGCGCGCTTATTTACTTGAATATTCTGGATGTTTCGGTGATAATGTGTATGTAAAGGCGCTGCAAGATGCGAGCGGAGAAGTATTGAATTTGGTGAGACAAGCGAAGCTTCGGAGCGAAATAAAGTGAATCAGTGTGATTAATTATTAGTGTCTTCTAAGTTTTAATTAGTGTAAAGTGAATTAAAGAGTTAATTTTGGTAATTCTATCGGCAATTTTTATTGTCACGAACCTCAAGCTCGTAACAATTGTCAGAAGTGGGATAAAATCATGCCGATTTTACCTAAGGAGGAAACGGAGGGTGTTCGTACCCGAATTCAACGCCAGCAGGAGACGGACCAAAGAAGATTTTTATTGTCACGAACCTCAAGCTCGTAACAATATTTCATCGGGGCCGCAATGGATCGAACCCGTATTGCTTGCGTACTGTGAAATTTACAGCGTGCGTTTATTCACTGAGCTACCATGGCTTTAATGAAATGAGCACCTATAGTAAATTTCAACGTAATCTCATTTAAAACGAAATGAATTTTGTGCTGGGTAACGAAAGCTCACGTTGCTTGCCTTGATTACATACGGACTGGATTATATTGACCCGAATATTCACGTGTGTTGAGGAGATATGTACGTGGGAATATTTCCAAAATACCGTTTAACATAGAATAGTTCTTATAAGACACGATTCTTTATAATCAGCTACGGTAGCAAGTCTCAACGGAAACAGAAATAGAAACAGAAACAGAATCTTTTTTATTCAATATCCATACTTCCATACTAATATTATAAATGCGAAAGTGTGTTTGTTTGTTTGTCCTTCTTTCACTGATTTTCTGATTGATTTTCCCTCGGGAAAGAAATGTTTTTCCGCGGAAAATAGTAGCCTATGTCACTCCACAGCAACCGAACTATCCCCATACCAAAATTCATGCCATGCCGACGCTCTGTTGCGACGTGAAAGAAGGACAAATTTGTGCAACATATTCGATTTTCCCAAGGGAATGAGGCTGTAGAGTACATAGGCTACTTTTTCCGCGGAAAAACATCTCATTCCCGTGGGAAAATAGAATATTTCCCACAGGAACGGGAATGAGATGCTTTTCCGCGTAAAAAGTTAATTTTGGTAAAAAGACATAATAACCCAGATATTCTGACCTTCTGTGTTCGTCCATTTTAACGTCGACCGTCTTGTAGAATCACGGTGGCACCACCTAGCTGAATTTAATTTTGCAACATATTCGATTTTCCCACGGGAATGATAATATGTTTTTCCGCTGAAAAAAGTAGCCTATGTCACTCTACAGCCACCGAACTATCCCCATACCAAAATTCATGCCATGCCGACGCTCTGTTGCGACGTGAAAGAAGAACAAACTTTTGCAACATATTCTATTTTTTGAGCAAGCATTGAGCAAGCTGAACGTCAATCTACTATAAGGGCATCTGAAACACCAGAACAGACACAGGCACGAAGAGATGCAAATGCACAGCTCCAAGCTGAACATCGACAAAATTTTCCAAGAAACAATTGGTTGGTTTTTAATGACGTAGCATTCAATTATGATCCGTTGATTGATTATAAAAATCACAGGTTAGTTGTCGTATCAGACTGATGGACAAGGCGTGTCGATTTTGCAGCGCTTTAAAATGGAAAGATGAGACCGCAGGCATGTGATGTTCCAATGGCAAAGTGTCTCTTCCGTTACTTTCGAAAACTCTCTTTTTTATGATGCTAATGAGTCACGGCGGTTTTAAACAGGATCCGGAAATATAACTCATACTTTCAAATGACGTCCTTCGGAGTTGACCGGGAAATAATAATGCCGGGATTTATTTACGGTGCAAGGGCAAATTTATCATAGGATAGGTTCACTTTTTCCAGCTGAAAACGAACAGCATAAATATTTGCAAGTATATTTTATGGGTGACAAAGAAATTGAGGTAGACCGTCACTGCCAATTTATCCAGTGAGTTGAGAGAGACACAGTGTTTAAAATTCAAAGATTCTTGCATGAACGTAACATTTTAGTCAAAACATTTAAATCTGCTTTAGAAAACCTACCTGAAGAGGATTATAAAGTCGTCATTCACGCAGATCGGACCCCTCGAGGAGAGCATGAAAGGCGCTACAATGCACCTTTGATAAACGAAATAGCAGCCGTAATTAGTGGTGATCAATTTTCTTCACGAGACATTGTCTTGCGAGCACGTGATGATACGATACAACGGGTAGCCGATACACACAAATTTTATGACGCTCAACACAAGACATCAAATTCCACTCATTAACTCAGTCACAAAAGAGCCTCCGAACAAAAAAGTATCATGTATGGATTTTTATTCGTATCATATGATGTTGCGAGAAAATGATTTTAACCTCTTAGCCCGGTGTAGACAATTATTTCATCAATTTTTGGTAGACATGTATGTAAAGGTAGAAAGTGAACGTCTCCGTTATATATCTTTAAATCAAAAAAGCTGCGCGTCGAGAATAATATACATTTACAAGATGCAATTTCTAGCGACGCCAATAAAAATTAAACCCCAGAGATTTAGATAAAATGGTAATTCTGCACTCATCATTCGTTAACAGTCCCCGCTACCTACAAGACGCATTCGCCTATATACGAACTTACGGAAGACCTGATCTTTTTGTTACTTTTACTTGCAATCCCACATGGAAAGAAATAACCGAGGAGCTAATGCCGAGCCAAAAAAGTACTGACAGACACGATTTAGTTGCTAGAGTATTTAGATTAAAAGTACAAAAATTAATGTATGTAATTAACAAAGGGAAAATTTCCGGAGAGGTGCAGTGCTTCACGTATTCAATTGAATGGCAAAAAAGAGGATTACCGCATGCCCACATTCTAACATGGCTTAAAGGGAAGTTGCGGCCCAGCCAAATAGACGACATAATAAGTGCCAAGATTCAGGATCCTGAGCAAGATAAAGAATTGTATGATATCATCGTCCGAAATATGATTCACGGTCCATGTGGAGCACGAAATTCAATATCGCCATGTATAAAAAAAGGAAAATGTACAAAGAAATTCCCTAAACAGCTATTAAAAAAACACAATGACAATGGCTACCCTTTATACAGACGTAGAGCTCCCGAAGATGGTGGCAGGAAAATTACAATCAAATCTCGCTCTGGCGCGTTCGAAACGTTAGATAACAGCTGGTTTGTCCCGTATTAGCCCATTCTATGTAAAATATTTAATGTCCACATTAATGTAGAAACATGTAGCTCTGTCCGCGTAATCAAGTATATCTGTAAGTACATAAATAAAGGAAGCGACCATGCAATATTTAATCTCAGGAGTGAAGGTGAGGCAAATCCCGTTAATGAAGTACAGACCTTTCAAGCAGGGCGTTATGTAAGCAGTGAGGAGGCAAGGTGGCATCTCCTTGGCTTCCCTTTACACGAAAGGTACCCAACAGTTACTCACCTTGATGTGCACTTAGAAAATGGAGAGCGTGTATATTTCACCGAAAGAAATTTCCAAGAAAGAATTGCATCACCGCCAAAAACTACACTAACAGCTTTCTTTCAACTTTGTCAAACCGACGCATTTGCAAAAACGTTGTTATATTCTTAAGTCCCCCCGCTATTATACTTGATTGAAACGCCGTATTCAAGGCGCGCCTGTTGCAAATTGGCCCGGTGTGAAGTCATCAGATGCCCTTGGTCGTGTGTATACCGTCCATGTAACTAATTTTGAATGTTTCTGTTTACGATTGCTGCTGCACCTTGTTCGGGGTCCTACAGGATATAAAGACCTTAAAACTGTTAACGGTCAGGAATGCGCAATTTATAGAGAAGCATGTGAAGCCTGCATCTTTTAGAAAATGATAATCACTGGGATGAAACCATGGAGGAAGCTGTGCAGTGTCAGTCACCAGCCAAAATTAGGGATCTTTATGCAACTCTCATATCATCTTACGGGCTATCTAATGCACATGAATTGTGGGAAAAATATAAGGAGTACATGGCGGAAGATATTTTGCGAAGGTTACAGCAGACACACGCAAACATGACATACAATTAACACATTTATAATGAAGCAAAGTAATGGCAATGGTAGGCAAAAAATTAAGCGACTTTGGAATGATAAGCCCTCAGCGAACAGCCGAAAATGAACTAAGTGATGAAATTATTCGTGAAACAAACTACGATATACCAGCTTTGCAGCAGCAAGTAGCCGAATTTATAGCCCGCTTGCTTACCGAACAAAAAACGAGTTTTTGACAAAGTTTTAGGACAAATTGAATCTGGAAATGGTGCACTTTTCTTTTTAGATGCCCCTGGAGGAACTGGGAAGACATTTTTGTTAAATTTATTATTAGCGCAAGTACGGAAAGATAAAAACATTGCTGTGGCCGTAGCTTCCTCCGGTATAGCCGCCTGTACATTCTGTTTTAAAACTCCCTCTAAATCTAGCCCAGGAAGAATCGCCGATCTGCAACTTTAACAAAAATAGTGCACGAGGTATAATGACACGATAATGCAAACTTTTAGTGTGGGACGAAAGTACAATGTCGCATAAAAAAGCTGTAGAAGCATTAAATCGAACGCTCCAGATTTGCGCAGCAATACCGATGTAATGGGAGGAATGGTGGTTTTATTGGCTGGTGACTTTCGCCAAACTTTACCTGTCATTCAAAAGGGCACACCTGCAGATGAAATTAAAGCATGCCTTAAGTTGTCTATTTTATGGAATAAGGTGACAAAATTCAGTGTAACTACGAATATGAGAGTGCATTTGTATAATGATATCAATGCTGGAAACTATGCTGACACACTATTAAAAATTGGCGATGGGCGGTTGGAAATGGATGCTGAGGGCTGCGTTAAATTGACGAGAGATTTTTGTAATTTTGTACAGAGTAATTCCGAATTAATTGCGAGCGTTTATTCAGATTTAACGAACAACATGCTTGAAGACACATGGTTATGTGAAAGGGCGATTCTTGCACAAAAAATGAGAGCGTTAACAAAATAAATTCAGATATATTAAGCGAAGTAGCAGAAGAAATAACAGAGTATTTATCAGTAGACACAGTTGTGGACACAGAACAGAGCACTTCATATCCCGTAGAGTTTCTAAGTTCTCTAGATTTGTCAAGTGTGCCCTCACATAAGCTTCAATTAAAATTAGGCGTCCCAGTCATGCTAATGCGAAATTTATATCCTCCTCGGTTATGTAACGGGACAAGGCGGAATGTGACACATCTTGGACGGAACATAATCGGTGCTACAATTTTGACAGGCGTAGGAAAAGGTGAAAATGTTATTATACCACGAATCCCTATAATTCCCACAGATCTTCCTTTTCAATTCAAAAGGTTGCAGTTCCCTATTAAGCTCAGTTTTGCAATGACAATTAACAAAGCGCAAGGGCAAACGTTACAGGTAGCGGGGGTCAACTTAGAAAAACCGTGCTTCTCTCATGGTCAGCTGTATGTAGTATGTTCGCGTGTGTCAAATGCCCAAAATCTCCAAATTCTTTCCCCGAATGGAAAAACATATAACATTGTGTACAGTAGAAATGCTGCAGTATGCAGTACAGTAAAAATGCTGCACCTCTGACGGACCTATTAAGCTCAATTTCCTTTCAACTCAAAAGGCTGCATCTCTGACGGATCTTTTATTTGGCTCAGTTTCCTTTCAATTCAGAAAACTGCATCTCTGACGAATCAATTTAGCTCAGTTTCTTTTCAAAAGTCTGCATTCCTGACGGATAATTATGCTCAGTTTCCTTTAAATAAAAAAATATCCCATTTCCATTTGGAATAAACAGGCTATTTTCATGCTTTCCTATACGCTGCGTTTTAAAACATTTAAATAGGCTGACGAATCAATTTTGCTCAGTTTCCTTTTAATGGCTGCATCTCTGACAAATCTATAAAACTCAGTTTTCTTTCAATTCAAAAAGCAATGTATAGTTCATTTCCCAGTGACCATGCGGGCGAAGCCGCGGGTAACAGCTAGTAAATTATAAATAATGTTTATTGAAAGTCACTTTTTTAATTTGCCACTGGTTCGGAAAAAAACCTCTGTCCTGGGAAGAACCAACAAGAAATCCAGCGGGACTATTTTTTTAAATAACAGCTTACAATCATGTATGTTACAATTAACTACACAAAACAAATTAGAAATAGCTTGGTAGCGATCACCCTTCCCAAGCGTTATTATCACCCATAAATTCCTTAAAATTGTAATAACTCTTTTTATACAAACTTAGTTTAATAAAGTTTTTTAGCTTTGTGAAGGTCAAATCTTGTATATTTTCTGGCATTTTGTTGTAAAAGCGTATACAACGCCCTAAAAACGTATTATTGACTCGATGGAGTCGAGTAACTGCTACTACTAGCTGGAGACTAGCAATTTGCGTAGGGCGCGATTAAAGTTTCAAGTGTATGCAAAAGCACAAGTCCACTCCCTATTCCCTCGCTTTCATAATCCGCCGATATAGGTATAGGTAAAGGCTTTAGTTAAGTAAGCTTTTTATTAAGGTACGCTTTTAGTTAATATCCGCGTTAATAAAATAAAAATACTTTGTATCTAACCTGGTATGAAGAGCACATCCCACTCCTTTCTCAATTGTGTGCACTATCCCCGCCACAACTAATCAATCTCTACACCACTACTCTCAAAACTACTACAGTCTGAGCAGTAAGCACCCGCAGTCTATTTCCCCTGATAATGCCTCGTTTAGTGGCGAAACACGTTTCGTATTATCGGTGTAATTGGTGTGCCTTGAATAAAACTATATTTACGGATTATTTCGCGTTTAATAATGGTGGGGACGATCTTAAACATGTTCACAGACTGCAGACTTCCTAGAGCGTCGGTTATTCACATCACTTATATGTTCGCACGCGGGTTGTTTTGAACCATTTTGTTTGATCAATGTAAATCCTCCTGCATGTTGTAGAGGAATATTACTTGATGGATGGTAAAAATTTAATAACCTTCTTCGGCGGCTTGTAGTATGTTTTAATGGAAGCTCGCTTCAAGATGTAGCCAACCTTGTCTGTGACTCCTCCGACTTACGGTAGTACAGCAGGCACACGCTCGACTGTGGTCGGCTTCACTCGGTCACTGTGACGTAGGCGCGGGACCCGAAGCTTCTTGTCTAGCAATACTTGCTTGACGTGCTGAAGCTCGGCGGCCAGATGTTTTCTATCACAGATCCCTTGTGCTCTCTACAATAAATTATTACCCACGGTAACTGTGAAGGATGAAGGTGAGATTCACCATTTAAATATCGGTTGGTATGGGTCTTTTTCCTATACACAGTGTGACCAATAGTGTTATCAGGATTTCGGATGACGCTCCCCCCGCCTCCTCCGTGACCATGGGTGCTGTAAAGCACCCAAAACGTCAGGATTTAAAAATAAGTAAAAACAAGTTAAAATAAGTAAATTAAACGCGATATAATCCGTAAATATAGTTTTATTCTATGTGTAGTAATTTAATAAATCAATGTGTGCTTTATTTACGGTGACGGGAATAGTGCACATAATTCAGGGTTGGCGTGAGACGTTCTTCAAATACATCGTTTTTTCTTTACGTGTTTTAGTATATTATTTTTAACATCTATACATATAAAATAATATTGCATTTTCTGTTTTTAATAACGAAATAACAGCCTTATAATAAGCTGCGGGGATTATTTTCATGCCATTAAGGTATGAATAACCATTTTTTAAATGTTTGTCTCTGGATTTTCGGTCTGTTCGTGCTAATCTTCGGAAAAGTTTCAAAACAGTTGTTATGAAACTTTACTTACATATAGAGATTAATGTCAGAAGTGATCTAGGTTATATTTTATGTGTAAAACTTGGACATTTAAAAAGAAACAAAAAGTTGATAAAATATATGATCTACATTTATCTTAAATCTAAACAACGCCACTTTATTAGATCCTATCAAGGTGAAGTTGGGGCGGGTCGCTGGTCTTTAATATAGTAGATTTTCGTGATGCAAGTTTTTTTTAACTTCAACAGCAATATGGTGGGCATCTATCATGTTCTACCTTGCGGGCAAGATGTGCAGCAGCTACGGCATCTTCTCCATGACGGTGCTCACAATGGAAGTGTTCCCCACTATCTCGCGCAACTCACTCACCAACATCGCAAACACTTTTGGTCGGTTGGGCTCAGTCCTGGCACCACAGACACCACTTCTTGTGAGTATACAACATTCCAGACTAAAACAAATACGTAATACAAATAAAAATTATATAGATCAAAAAAGGCGCCCAATAAGAAGCCAGCCAGATAAAATTCATGCCACAACCACAATAATGCTGCAGCGTGGCATTTCCATTACCATGCCATTACAGCCTATAAAAATCTGTTGCTGAACAATGGTCTAACCCTTAAATTGTCTCATAGAGGGGATTTTGCCATAGTTGCCACGCTTGGCAGGCCTGTTGGCAGTTTTTTTTTTATTTGGAGCTTTTATTTGAAAAATGCTACTGCCACTCCTGTTTCAGTTTTCCTCTGTGGCCTCTTACGACTACCACAGGATGGTATGGAGTAGTGGATATTCGTACACCACCACTACACGGGCAACCGTTACTGTGGCTTTAACACGTATATATAAATAATTATGCCATTCCAGGAGCAGTACATGTCTGGGCTGCCAAGCGTGCTGTTCGCGCTAGCGGCACTGGAACCAGCTCTGCTGGCGCTGCTGTTGCCCGACACTAGCCGTGTGCCACTGCCCGACCACGTGGAGGAGGCCGAGCGCCTTAACGACTCGCCCCAGGCGATCCAAATCCAACTTGAAAGAATGAATCCATCACCTGCCTTAATTCAACAGTTATAGTCCCTTGACGACTCACAATCCAAACACAGCAGAGAACGAATAGTTTCGACTCATCTTCCTGATGCAAAATGGGAGCAGATACGAGGAGATGCTTTATCCGTTCAAATGCTTTCTGTTGCTCAGTATTCTATCGCTAGGCACATAATTTATTTAGGAGTGTCGTAAGGGATCTCGCAATATCCGCATAATTATTAATAAAGCGGCGATACCAACTCGCCGTTTGTGAGATACATTTTAAGTGTTAGTGCTCTGAGGGACATGCATATTATCAATAGCTGCCGTCTTGTCTTGATTTACCTGGATTCCCCCTGATACGATAACATGGTCTAAAAACTTCACAGATTCTCTTGCAAATACACTCTTACCTCTGTTCACTCTTGACTTAAACATAGCCAACCGATCAAAGACCGCCTCCAGGTCCACCAGGTGTCTCCCGAAAGGTTCCAGTGACAACAGTATCAGATCGTCTAGATACACTAGAAGCGTCACCTCTTTCAGGTTGGACCGAGATCGGTCCATCAACCCCTGAAAGGTTGCTCCAGAACATTGTAGTCCCATTGGCATCCTCTTAAATCTAAAGGTACCAAGTAGTGAAGTAAAGGCCGTCTTATCTTGAATCTCTGGGCAAACACCTGATGGTAGGTAACCTGAGCGGATATCTAGAGTAGTTAATATTCACTGGTTAGCTGCGTATCCAGCTCAGTCACCGCGTTAAGCTTGCGGTAATAAATACACCTTTATTCGATTTCGATATATCGCATATTGCGGCACACGACCCTCAATGAAAGCATTGAGTCTATTCCATTGCTCCTGGTTTAACATAAATCCTTCGTCTATGCCCAAAATTAGTTCCGTAGATGAGGCGTGCATTAAATCTGTTCCACCAAAGTCAAGTGTGCATGCATAAACAAAATTGTAGCACTGTCCGGGACTATCTATAAACGTGCAAGTGCGCCGGGCGATGTTTATAACCATGCAATCCCGAATCAATAATCTACCTAGAAGCGTTCTAGTGCCACTGCCCGGCAACACTAGTAACTGACACATTACACTATGTCCTTTGACATCTATACTTATCTCAGCTATCAACAGCTCTCTCCACACTTGTGTACCCTCAGGCAGGTATATAAATCGTTTAACTTCACTAAAGTGCACTCCCAAGTCCACTAAAATTTGATATAATGAAAGGCTTATAATACTATGCCTAACGCCTGTATCCACTATCGCCACTCCGCTACGGCCCATAACGGATATATTAACCATCGAATAAGATTCACGCGTACTCAATTAATTTTATACATGAGGTACTTGTGTTATTTGTAATACTACTATGACCTTAGGACGTCAAACATCTTAGTACACCCCCCCGTGACCATGGTAGCTGTAAAGCACCCGAAACGTCGGGAATTAAAAATAAGTTAAATAGTTAATTTAACGCGATAAAATCCGTAAATAGAGTTTTATTCAATATTATTGTTAATACAACTGTCGTGACAATAGGTATCTACATCAAAATTATTTAACGAAGTTTAATCGTCCAATGTCGATAGTTTCCACATAAATATTACATTTCGACCTCACAACAACTTCCTTACCACACCCATAACAACTTATACCCTTACGTGTGCTATCGCTATCCACATGCTTATAATTATTATTAACAGCCTTCTCACGATTTAGATATTCTCTACTAATGTGCCAATATAACTTACATTTACTACATTGAGACCTATTATTTTTGCTATTTCTACGCAGTGTAGTCGCGTTCGTGGTATTAAAACTCGATTTCGTTAGATCGCGACCGGTAGTAGTAGCAACCAATTTCATGAAATCGTATTTTTTCAATTATTACTATTATTTTTATCCTTACCTAACATAACTTAGTACATATCCTTCGCGATACTCGTTTTATACATTAAATTATCTAAATTACGAACATTATCGCGGGAAACACTTTTTATAATACGTTGGTGTAATAACCTCTAACTAATATCTACTTGTACTGTTGCGTCGAGCTTAAACGGTAATTTTAGTTAATTTAAACAAACTGTTCTAGTGCATTTAGCAATAACTTATATAGTAAATATTTAAGATAAATTGTGTTGGAATATGGTTATGGTGTAAAAGAAAGTTTGTGTGTACTGTACGAAATTCTGTATTAGAATGCCAACACGAAGTTTATCGTTTAACAAAGAAATAATTAATAGACTTGTTTTGACTACATCCGTTATTAAAGAGACGTTATGTTGACTAGTATTTTTGTATATGCCAACAGTCCCCCTCAAAAATACGAGTCTATTTTATGAACTATGTAATTCGTTTAATATTTTCAATTATGTTAAATCACATACATATCATTTACAAAACATGATCATAATTAAAACAAATTTAATTTTTGTCTTACTTCTAGGAACTTAAGGTACAACTTTTGTAAATATATCAGCCAGTTGATTTCCTTTGGAAATATATTCTAACTTTATTATCTTATTAGTTATTTGTTCCCTTGTTTTTATTATTTTTGATACTTAATATCTATATATTCGGATTTCTTATGGTTGTACAAATGTCTAGTCGCGTGCAAAGCATCGCGTACATTAGGTATCCAATAACATTTCTGTATGGTGCATCATAATTCATCAGAGTTCAGGTCCCAATAGTTAAGTAAAGTTAAGTTTGGATGGTAAAGGTGACTTAGTATAGTTTACATTCACTAATGGAAAATTTGTTTAAAACATTTTTAAGATACATAGTTTGATCTAAGCTTCTTGTATGCTCATTTCTCTCCATTCTTATTCCTAGAAACATTTTTATTTCATTTAGATCAGTCATTCCAAATTTTTGTATAAATTAAGATAAAATTAAAAAAAAAATAGTAACAATGATTAAATCATCTACACACGGAACAATATATATTATATATATATATATATATATATATATATATATATATATATATATATATTCCTCAATATAATTTTTATTTAATAAATATAAACATGGCTAAACTCCGGAATTCTTTAAAGCTATATCTTTAAGAGTATGATCGAAACGTTCAAACCAACATCTTTAAGACTGTTTTAAGCCATATAGAGTTTTATTTAATTTACACATTTGATTATCTTTAACCGAAATCCCTTCTGGCACTTCCATATATATGTCCTCTTTTAAGCATGCCGTTCAAGAACGCGGTCTTCACATCCATATGGTGAATATACAAATAAACTAATAATATATAAAAAAAAATGTTGGTCTAGTGGTCGTAGTAGTGCGACTGCTGATCATGAGGTCCTGGGTTCGAATCCCGAGTCGGGCCGAAAAATTAATTATTAATATTTTCCGTCAAGAAATTCTCAGTAGTTGCCCGGAATCAGGAAGTTGGCGGTGTCTCACCCCCGTGCCTCGGAAAGCGCGTAAAGCCGTTGGTCCTGCGCCTGATCTCTCTCCGGTCGTGTCGGTTTACCGTCCCATCGGATTATGAAAGTGAGGGAATAGAGAGTGCACCTGTGCTTGCGCATACACTTGCGCACTATAATCCTGTTTCCTACGCCGATGGCTAGCCTGCGTTGAGACAGGCCGCCGTGGCCGAAATTCGGTCTGGAAGACATAGAAATAAAATTGATTGGCGAATGCCAAAATAAATCTAAAAGTAGTTATTCGCGCCACAGGTGCAAACGTATCGTCATAATCTTGTAGGTATTGTTGAGAAAAAACCACGAGCAACTAATCGAGTCTTATATCGCACTGGTTCACCTGATTCGTTATTCTTTATTGTAAAAACCCATTTAGAACTTATGATATTGCAATCTTTGGGCTTCTCAACAATATCCCAAGTTTTGTTTTTATGTAATGATTCAATTTCACATTGCACGGCTTTAACCCATTCTTTAGAATCATGTCTATGAAAAATATCTTTATTATTTAAGGGCATCGGCTGAGCATTTGTTAAAATTAAGAATAAATCTATGTTACACATTTCTTTATAATTCTTAGGGCGTAGTTTAAGAATTTTTGTTTTTAATGTATCTTTTATGTAATGATTGTGTTTGTTGCCCATTAAGTTTGCCGAATCATTGTCAGGTTTATTAAGTTTAGTGGGAATTTCATAATTGTTATTGCTGCTACGCGTCGACCTAGAGTTTTGTAAATATAATTCGTCAAACAAAACATCTCTGGCTATAAAAATGATTATTTTCAACATTAAACAATTTATATCCATTTGGGTTATACCCTACTAATATGGATTTAAAGCATTTTCATCAAATTTACCTTTCATTATTTTGTCGTGCACTTGAGCCAAATATTTTTAAATTATAAATTGTTTGCTTTTTACCATGCCACATCTCATATGGTGTTTTATTAATAAGCGATTCTGTGGGTTATATATTAATTAAATATGTAGATGTTAAAGCACCTTTACCCCAAAATATCTAAATTCGTACTTAAAACCAATGTTCTTGCCATTTCGGTTAATGTACGATTCATCCGTTCTGATATACCATTTTGTTTTGGTGTGTACGGTATCGTCAGATGATACATTATTCCCTTACAAACACAAAAGTCTTTCAAATCGTTAGAAAGGTATTCTCGAACATTATCAAAATATAAATTTACAACTTTTAAATTAAACACATTCTCAGCCTTTGCAACATAATCCTTAAAATATTTTAAACGAACGTGGACCAATACAGGCCGGTTGCTGTGCCGGTTTAGACACCAGCCAAAGTACTTGAGGCTGCAGTACACAAGAGCATCCTCTCGCAGGTTAATGTACAGCTTTCAGGTGAGCAACACGGTTTTAGACCCGACTGGAGCACCACCAGCAACCTAATTAATTATATGAATTATATTGTACCTGAAGTGGATGCTGGAGGACAGGTAGATGTAGCTTTCTTGGATTACAAAAAAGCTTTCGACCTAGTGGATAATGACATACTGCTCACAAAACTGGCAGGTGTAGGATTTACTCCCCATTTACTAACATTTTTGCTAGTTATATGCGG